TGTGTCCTCCCTCCCGGACTGGGGGTTTATTCTCTTGACAAGTTGATTTCTCCAGTTCATTGTGTCCCTGCTGCCAGGGCACGGAAGATTTAATCTCACCAGAGAGAAGCCAGGTAAGGCAAAGTGATGATATAATGATGCAAAGTGCCCCATCCGGTCCTCCAGGGGAGAAACACCCCCCTGAAACTTCTCCAGATTCTTGGCTGATCATATTATTCCAACTCCAATTTATTTATCTCTCTCTTTTGCATATCTCCATCTGCACCGCTTCTTGCACATCTCCATGGAGATGGAGAAACAAGGCTGGTAATGCCACTCCAGCGTGGCCCAGCCGCTGACACAGGTCCCACCAGGTGCAGAAACCAGCACCCACCCCAGGAGATGCCAGCAGGGACCTGGTCCAGCTGCTCCTGTGCAGGTAAGAGCTCTGGCCTGATCCTGATGCCTCCCCTCTGCACAGCAACTCCTTCCCTAAGGATCAGGGTAAAGCCCTGCAATGGGGGGAGCAGAAGTTTGCCCCAGTTCTGCACCGAGCAGGGTCAGAGAGCTCATCCACATCCTCATGCTGGTGGTTTTCATGTACCCAGCAGCATCTACTGAGTCACATGTAAAACAATGCCAGCATTTATGCGTTATCTGAGCTTTAATTCTTTTCCTTTACATCTAAAAATGCTGCATTTAGCCCCAAAATTGTCAGCGCCACTTTAAACGCATGTGTCTAAATTATCCCCTCTGTAGCTCCCATCCCTATAGCAGCATTATGCACAGCTCCATCTGCTCCAGTATTTCTCAGCTGTTTCCATCCCCAATATAATGGCCAGCTTATGCACAGCTACCAACTTCCCAGAAGAGAAGTGAAAAATTAATCCAAAGCCTGCTGTAAGTATTGGTGCTCCGTTTGACCACCTGATTTTTGATTATTTGGAGTTTTCCCTTTGCCTGTCACCACAGTGATTAAAAATACGTATGTGGCAGTAGCCTCTCTCCATCATGGAAAGTTGGGACAAATACTCTGGTGGCATAAATCGATGCAGCTCTGTGGAGGTCAGTGGGATTACATCGAGTTACACCAGCTAAAGGCTTTGGCCCATCCTTTCCCATAGGTTTGTGTCCTGTCTCTCTCTCCATAAAGGTCTTCCAAGAGCATGTTCTGATGGCATTGGAAGAGGCCTTTCCTCCCAAATGCCTTTATTTATAGCTTTCAGATGACAAAGGGTCTATAGAAGGAGAGTGAAGGAGCAGACCAATTCCTGCTTATGTTCGGGTAACTTTTTTAGCATCAGTTAAATGTCAGTGAATCTTCTAGGGAAAAATCTTTGTTTCCATGATTTTCTGGCTAATAGCTGTCCTACACAGCTGCAGTTTTTAATTCTACCTGTTTACAGCACTTAGCTGGTAGATACTATTTTTTTTTCTTCTTTTTTTTTTTTTTGTCCCAAGGCATTCCAGCAAGGGCAAACCTTACCAAATCCTCATTTTAAACACAGGGAAAATCAGGTGCAAGGAAATAAAAGGCCAGGCTGAGGTTTGCAGCCCACAGCAGCACTGGCAGCATCACTCTCTGCCCAGTCCTCTTTATTTCGGTGCATCTGAGCTGTATTTATATACATTGGACTTCTCTGTTTTCCTTTGCAGCTGGTCAGTAAAGACAGAATTTCTAAATGAGCCTGAGAATTACACATGCAAATCCCAAAGGCCTGGAATTGGGAACATCTGAGCAACAAATTGTCCTTGCTAAAGATGGTGTTGGAGCCAAAAAGCCTACAAATTCTGGGCCTGCTGTAAGTACTTTTAAGATCAAGATAAGCCGGTCTGCGCTGCTGGTGTTTGCCAGGTGCCAGTTCGCTTCTCGAGGCACTTTCTGCTTGAGCTGAGAGGGGACGTGGGGACAGAAGGGGGGCAGCCTGTCGCCTCCGGCTGCTCCTCCGAGTGCCCTTCCCTCTGGTCCGCATCTCACAGCGCCTGATTCGCGTGATGCTGAGATGCTGAACCCGTGTCCTCGGCGGGGCTTACAGGCAGCAGGGAGGGCAGGAGGGCCGGGCTGTGCGTGCAGATGTTCAGGCCATCAGGAAGGCGCTGCGTTAAGTCCGAGATTGCCCGGCTCTGCAGCCCTCCCGGCTCCCCTCCTCCCTCAGCCCTCCTCATTCAGTGATGTTTGAGCCACCCAGACTGACCCTGGAGGGGCCGAGCCGGCATCCCCCTGACTCAGGGCGCTTGGGATGAGCAGGCGGGCGGGTTGCTCGGACCTGACCTTCCCGTCCTTCCTCCCTTTCCCCCAGAGGCCGGGCAGCATCAGCGCCCGCAGCCACTGACCCATCTGCCAGCGCCGCGCTCGGGTTCTGTCCCCGCGGCTGGACGGACAGATTTCTGCTGCACCGGGAGGCTGCACCTCGTGCTGCCCAGCACCGTGAGTTGCAGAATTGCTGCTCTGTGCAGGCATTTAGGGATCAGGTGCTGGGGCTGACTTAATTGCGGGCCAAAAAGCCTGCAACAATGTTTGGAGAACAAGCTGGTGGGGGACTGGGGAGAGACGACTTTTCTCAGAAGGGAGGTGACGTTCTAATTTGACTCATTCCTGTCTCACTGTGACTGTCTGACCATTAACACGGGGATTTTTTGGTGTGCAAACAGCCCCTATGTTCCCCCTACCTCACATATACACCTATATATTCCCATTTGCACGTTACCCATAAATAGGGTAACGTGAAATCTTCACCCTGCTCCAAGGTGATGCAGAGGGTTTAATTATCAATGGGTTTAAATGCATCTTGTGCTTTCCCCGTGGGCTGCCTGCTACCGTGGGCAAAGCAAGCAGGATTCCTCCTGTGACGTTAAATGTGCTCCCAAAGCTGGTGGGCTACTGAGTTCCCAGCCACAGCTCTCTGCAGCAGCAGCAGCAGAAGCAGCACAGCACGCCAGGGACGGCTCTGTGCCACAAGTGTCAGCCCTCGGCTTTCCCTGGGGCTTCTCAGTGCGCAGTTTTGGTATGGGGAGGGATGCAGGGGAGAGGAGCTGGTGGTCAGGAGAACCACTCGTGTCAAACACATATCAAAACAGGAGTGCCTGCCGTGGTAGGGCTGCCCTGGGCTTTCAGGATCTCCACTGCTGCCCAAAAGCTGTTGTGAAATAGTGTTGCTTTTGGGTTCCTACCAGAACAAGTGGGGTTTGACTGGGGCTTGGGCAGGCACATTCCCATTTGAAGACAAGAACACCCACCCCTTTAATAGGGCAGGGACAAGCTCTCCTGTACTTTAACCATATGAGAAAGTCCTCTTAAGTTTCAGAGGAGCTGGGTTTTAAAATCTGGATTATAATTTTTGGGTTGAAGCCACTACTCCCCAGCCAGGCCGTGGTCCTCCCGCTCTTTCTTCCCGCTAGGCAAACGCACCCGCACGCGCTCTTGGAAATACTTACATCCCCTGTTCCCCGTAGTGATTGTAAAATTCCATGTGGCTGCAAGCCTGGATCCAGCCCACAATCCAGGTCTCCTTCTTGGGAAGTGGGGGCACCAACACTTGCGCTGAGGCTCGGAAGTGAGGGGTCCGGTAGCGCAGGACCACGCTGGAGGACTCGTCAATGCTGGTGGGAATGGGGTCGATGGAGGCTTTGACTTCAATCACTGAAATACTTTCCCGGAAAACTTTGGATTTGCAGCTAATACTCTGAATACAGCCCATGGCATACCCCGAGTACAGTCCGACGCAGCTCCTAGGGTACTCCAGCAATCCTGGGGAATATTAGGCATTGAAATTATCTGGTGCTAGATCAATTACAGATCTTCTGGGTTTGTAATCTCAAAACTGATATCCATAGGATAGAAAATTCATCATGTAAAGCCTTAATTTGAGTATCTGTCTTACAAGTACTGCTCCTATTTTTGAGGTTAGCTGCGCTTCAGAAGCAAAAGGGCCTTTAAAATTTTTTTCCCCTTTTAATGACCCATTATATCTCTTGCTCAAACGGTCTTTGGGTTAAAAAAAGGTCTCTTGAGTTCAATAAATAACGGTGGTGTTCTTAGCTGATATATTTAGTCCTTCCTTTCCTCAGATGCGGTCTGTCATTCACCGTCAAACATAGGACTAGCCGGTATTTCCCTTTATTCTTTGGATGAAAAGCAGAATGTTGATAGACACATCTATATAAATAATGAAATAGTTTTTAGCCCCAGCTTGTCACAACCGGTGTGGATTTCCACTTCCTGACTTGCAGTTGTTCATAACTTCCTTTCGCACAGAATTACAATAATAACAGAAAAGAAACGACGGCTGGAAAAACGCAAAAAGTCGCCAAATCTCCCAATTTGGAGGCTCCTCCGCCAGCGATGTCAGGGCTTTGGGGATTAATTTAATTTTTTTTTCTCTCTCTCTCTCTTAGAAATAGCCGTGCGCGCAGGGCAGCCGCGCGGTGCCGGTGGGGCCGGCGGCTCCGGGAGCGCTGCGGGGCAGGCGGCGAGAGGAGCCTCCCCCGCGCCCGCCGGGGCCGCGCCGCTCCGCGCCCGCTCAGCGCCGCCGAACCTCCGCCCGTGACATCCCCCGACACGCACCGGCCCGGGGGGCGCCGGCCCCGCCGCTCCCTTCTTCCTCCTCCTCCTCCTCCTCCTCGGCGAGCGGCTCTCCGCAGGGGTGTCCGACCTTCCACCTCCTCCTCCTCCTCCTCCCGCTGCTGCTCCCGGGCGCGCCGGCTGTGGCTCAGCCGGCGGGGCTCATGGGCGGGCGGCGGGGCTGCCCCGCACACGCGTGGGCCCCGCAGGGCGTCGCAGCATCCCGGGGAGCAGCGCCGAGCCCCGGCCGCGCCGCCGAGCCCCGGCTCCCTGCGCTGCGGGGGCGAGCGGCGGCGCAGGGCGGGGGAGAGGTTGGGGGAGGCTCCTTCGCTTTCGCTGGGTGGTTTGGGTCTTTTTTTTTTTTTTTTTTTCTCCCTCCCCTTCGCCTCTTTTGCTTTTAGCTGCCCGGGGAGGTGAGCGGAGCAGGATCGGTGCCTCCGCCTCCCGGCTGCCGCAGGCTTCCTCTCCCGCAGTACATTCGTGCACCCGGGGACGGCGCCGGCCGCGGGTCTCAGCCTCGCCGGTGGAGCGGGGGGTTGCGGGGGGGCTCCCGCTCCGCTCGCCGCCGCAGCATCAGGGAGGCAGCGGGGTCAAACTTTGCAGGAACTCGCTCGCAGCCCCTCGGTGCCCCCGGGCGTGCCCGGACGATGCCGCCCCGGCTGCCCGGGCAGGGTCCGCCGCATCCCTTTGGCTCCGCCGGCCCCAGCGGCACCGGCTGCGGGTCCGGGGCCCCCCCGCGCCCCCCGCCGCCCTGTCCGCCCTCCTTCGCCCAGTGCCATCCCTCCCCCTGTATTTCGCTTTTAAACTGCAGCTGTTGAAGGCTAAACCTCCTTTGCAGAAAAAAAAAAAACAAGGCAGCATTTCCTCCCACATGTCCGTGAATTGTGGGTAATGTAGTTTTTTTTTGTTTTCTTTTAGAAACGCCTTTCCCTCCCCCCCCCCCCCCTTTATTATTATTATTATTTTCTAATTTGGTCACAGCGTATATTTTCTCTTGGGTTTTCAGATTAAGATTTTCCTTTACTGCCTGAAGATTTGCAGGTAGGTTTGGTCCCAACCCAAGGGCTCCAAAGTAGGTGGTCTCCTTCTTTCCAGAGCCTGTAACCCCAGGCTGGATGGGCTGTGGTTCCAGCAGTGAGAAATGCACAGCAGCAGCGGGACTGAGGAGTAGCTGGGAACAGGGAGTAAGAAAAATCTGAGGCAGCAGCAGCCTGTGGAAAGTTGTAAACTCCTATTACAGATGGTTTTGGGAGTACCACTGCTGGCTGGTCCTGCTGACCATCTGAGGATCTGACCACCAGGTGAGGTGCATGCATCCAGCTTTTCACAGAACATGGCTCTCCTTTTTCGGTAATAAGTGGTGGGTGTTGAATGTTGGGTGAGAGTGTCCTCTGTCACTTGTTTCTAAAGAGGAAACTTGGGGAAAAGAGGTAAAAATTGCTTTGCTGGTGCTGCTTGTGGTGCAGTACTGCAGCACAGGGCTGAGTAAATGTCTTTTAGTTCTTCCCACCCCGCAGTCTCGGCAGGCTGGATTAGCCCTCGGCGGGTAGGACAGACTGGAGCTACTGGGTGATCCTGACAAGTGAATGTCACAGAACAAGGAGAGGCAAATTTACTCCTTTCCACCCACAGCAGCTGGAAAAAACCACAGTATATTGTTATGTTTTTCTTCCGCACGCGCTTCTCAAAGCACTGGGGAAGTATTTATTTTAAACTTCACAGTCTCTGAGAAGGGCACAATTACAGTCACTAGCCCTGTGACAGGGAGAAACACTAAGAACCTGCTCAAGTTACAGGCAGCTTACTACTGTGTAGTACAAGAAAGAATGAAATTAGCATCTTCCGAATGAAATATCCAGCAGCCTCCAGAAGGTGCTGAAATCCTTTGACATCTCCAAGACTCTTTCACACTTTTCAAACAAGCTTGTCACAGTTTCTCAGAGCATCATGGATCTGGTGAAACTGCATATTCTGTGACTTTAAGTTTCACTCAAGCTCCAGCCAGGTCTTGCTTCAACTTGGCTGTCTCTGGTGTTCTGGTCAACTAGGAAATTGCATTATCTCATTCTAATTAAATCAGCTTTTCATCTTCAGCTGGAATTTTCGTTGGGTTTTGGTCCTGCCTGCCTCCATCAGGCTGCTGTGAGTGATTAAGGCATTAGCACACCCCACCCTGGAGTGGCTGCCTTAAGCCATGGGCAGAAGGGCTTCCTTGCCCGAGTGTGTGGTGCTCTCTGATGGGATTGCTGGAGATGTGAGGCCAAGCTGTGGTCAGTAAGAATTAGGAGTGTCTGGTGATGCTGGGAGTTGTGTTTCCTTCTGCTGCCCATTTGATGCACCCATCCATGTCTCACAGTAGCATGGCCATGCTCTGTTCCTGTGGGGGTTCCCCCCCAGCATCGTGACCTTCACAGTATCTCCATCTCCTTCCAGCATGTCTTGTGGGTTTATTAAAGGACAGGGTCTCCCTGCACTGTCTGAGCAGTGGCAATAAAAGCCGCCCACCAGAGGCTGTGCTGGTGCTGCTGACGCACCACTGCGTGTGCTGTAAATACTGCAGGGTATTATATCTTATTTTGGCCAAGCTTTCCTTTCTGTCCCTAGAAGAATCCCACCCAGGAACACCGGGTTTGCTGGGAGCACTTTGGTTGCAAGTGCTGCTTCTTGGCCAGTTGCTGCTGGGGGCTGGGATTCACCCGTGCTGCCAGTGAACTGCAGAGAAAGGGGTCGGAGCTGTCACTCTTGACCCACCCGCATTCCAGCGTGGTTTGAGTGGCCCTGCTGGCCACTGACACTTTGTGTGGCCACAGCTGTGCAGGGAATTGTGGCCAGCAGCCCCCCTCCCTGGGCCAGGGAGGGTGGGCAGGGTGGTGAGGAGCACAGGGTGAAGGGAGCACGCCGGATTTGTCCGTCTGGGCATTCTCCCAGGTGCTTGATGATCCCTGAGGATCATGTGTCAGGCCTGGAATAGCCCCACCAGAGCAGGGAGCCTGTCTGCAGGTTTAGCAGGGATATTTATAAACCCCTGGGTTTGTGGCTGTTTTGCGAGCAGCGCAGCAGGACGGGGCTTGTCATGGCCCCAGTAGGGTCAGGGACATTTCCTTCCCAAGCTCAGTTTCTTTGGCTGGGACTGGCAGTGACAGCCCACCTGGCTGCAGGAGAGACCAAACAGCTTTCCTTTCCCACTCCACTTTTGACAGGGGTTTGCTGGCACTGGGTCCATCACGCACTGCCCTTCCTCCCCCGTGCCCTTCCTGCCAGGGACTCGTGCTGGGCTGTAAGGTTGGAGCCTCACAAGGTGGCTTGGGCAGAGAAATTCCCTCATATCAGTGTCAGCAGAAGAGACAGGCACCAGATTAAATTCATTCTCAGAGCTTTCAAGGTGTTTTTTACACGTGACAACTCCTGAGGAACATGCTCGGTTGTAGCTCAGCATCCCCAGCACCAGACTGGGCAGGAGTCTCCCTGTTTCTGCAGCCTCCTGGCCACCAGCACCTTTAGCCCTCTGCCCACTGATGTTTGCAAAGAACCCTGCACGGAGCAGGAGAATTGGGAGGGGGCATCTAGGGAGGTGCTGGCTACAGGCAAGTGCAAGCAGTGATGATGACGGTTATCTCCTCAGCTGGTGTCAGGTAGGCTGAGATTTTCCACATGCCTGGGAGCTGGGCAGTGGGATGAGGGCAGGCAGATAGGGACGGGGTGCTGACTGCCCTGATAGTGTGAGAATGTGGCTGCAGAGCCGGTGATCAGACAGGAGCTGGTGGGTGTTGGTGATGTGGCACCTTCTGTGCAAGCTCCAGGGCTGCCACAGCCCCACGTGGTACCTGAGCTTGAGCAGGGTTGTGTTTTATGGGCTGGGTGGGGATGCCTGAGGAGGGGATGAGCTCTTCCTCCAACTGGGATCATAGAATCACAGAAGGGTTTGGGTTAAGGTCTCCATAGCAGAGGGGCTTCAGCCCTCAGAGCATCTCCAGGGCCTCCTGTGGACTCATTCCAACAGGTCCGTGCATTTCCTGTGCTGGAGACCCCAGAACTCGACACAGTGCTGCGGGTAAGGTCTCACCAGGGTGGAGCAGAAGGGCAGCATCACCTCCCTTAACTGGGAGTAGGTTGCTGGAGGGTATGATTCAGAGATAAATTGATGTATATTATTTTCCTTTGAGGGAGGAAAATATGAGGAAAACCCAGAAGTGAGGGACCTCAAGCACTTGCTTGTCCAGACATTGCTGTTGCCACTGGACAGTCAGTTGGTCAGATGGGCACAGCCTGGGTGCACAGTTCACTGAGAGGATTTAGAGAACTATGGATAAAAAGCATGAAGAAAATGCAAAATTTTTCTTATTATTTTCAGAAGCCAAGAACCACCTTTCCTTTAGCACTTAAGCTCCCCAGTGCATTTTGGACTAGACTTTGAGATGCCTGAGTGTCCAGTTCCCAGGATTACTTGTGCAAACACCGATCTCTGTAACTGGACTTCAGTGCAGGCAAATGTCGCCAGCACCACGAGATGTGGCTGTTCTGCTCCTCAGTGTAATATTCATCTTCTCCAATTCTCTATCCACAGGGGATTTCCAGCCTATTTGCAGAGGAATAATCCTGTTCATGGAGCGTGTGGGTGGTGTGGAGCTGTGACAGCCCATTGCCCAGGGAAGGTAACTGGGTTGATGCCAGGGGGTCCTGGCTCAAGTGGTTGCTGCCATGGGCTGTCATGCTTTGGATGGCTTCTCCCAGCTTAGATCCACGCAACTGCAGTTCAGGGACTGTAGAAAGATCATTCAGATCTGTAAAGCTGAGCTGCAAGCACTGATGGGATGTTCCCAGGGGCTGATCAGTGCTGGGATTGGCAGGTGGGAGATCACAGATTCGCAGAATATTCTGAGTTGGAAGGCACCCACAAGGACCATCCCTTGATGTCTCGGAGGGGTTCTCCCCAGCTGAGGTGGGGAGCAGGGAGCAGGAGGCAGGAGGCTGACAGCAGCCGTGCAGTGTGATGGAGCACAGTGTGCCGTGGCAGGAGGGACGGCAGATATTCCCTGTCCTCTGCTGGAGCACACCCTAGGGCCTGGCATGAGCTTTCCTCCTCCCTGTCCCACTCTGCTGCTGGGGCTGGCTGCTGATCACACCTGCAGCTCAGGGACACAGGCACTGCCTGTCACCTGCTCTGGGCACGGGCTGCGCGGCGCTGGCTGACACGGCGGGGACACGTGCGGTAACGAGGCCACGCGCAGCGCCGGGGGCAGGAGGATGGGAATTCATTAGCAGAGCCGCTGTCTCCGGTAATCAGGAGGCAGGTGATGCTTCTCCTTCGTCCGGAAACAGGGTGAGTGATGAAGTCGCTGCAGGGGCGCACCCTGAGCCGGGAGGGAGGATGGGGCCAGTGGGGCTTGAAAGGTATCTGTGCCAGGGGAGGAGGGTGGTGTTTGGGGTGCCCTAGCATGGGGGGGAGATGCTGCAGAACAGACTAATCAAGAAGATTCTGGGGACAGCCCCTTGGTGGGAAGCCCCCAAGCAATGCTCAGCCTTGGTGTTGCAGAGCCAGGCAGCACAGCCCCCCGTGGGAGAGCTGCTGTGGGGAGGGGGATGCCATCATCTCCTCCAGCTCTGACTCTGATATTGAAATGTGAATTGCAGCACAAAAAACTACATTTCCCAGTTTCCCTTGCAGCCCAGGGGAATAAGCAATTGGAAGATTTAAATAGACCAGGCCAGAAGCAACCAACCTTTGGCACAACGTTTTTCCCTCCTCTTCTTCCAATCTATTGGCTGTTTAACCTTTTTCCCTGGCACTGGAGTGGCTGCCAAGCCTGGCATTAATTTTCCTTCCAAGCTTGCTAGGCCCATGAAGTAAACAGCCATGTGCATTCCTTACTCTATATTTAACAGCTGCAGTCTGTGCTGGGGGCAACTGCAACAGAGGGGAACCTTTGTAGCTTCCCAAATTCACAGCTTGTGAGGGTGGGAGTGGGGGAAGCTTTCTGCAGGGAGAAGAGGGATTTCTCTCCTTCCCGGTATTCGCAAAGCAGGTTGCGTTAAAGAGAGACTGCAATGCCAGCATCCCAGCCACGGTCCAGGGCAAGGGACAGGAACAATGTCCTCAACAGGGCTGAGTTCCTCTCCCTGAATCAGCCCTTGAAGGGGAACCAGGAGAGCAGGAGCTCAGGAAGAAAGCAGAGCGGCCAGGCCGGGGCAGCCGGTGCCCAGAACACCAACCCCAAGGAGCGGAGGCAGTCGCAGCAGCTGCCTGAGGAGGATTGCATGCAGCTCAACCCCTCCTTCAAGGGAATCGCCTTCAACTCGCTGCTGGCCATCGATATCTGCATGTCCAAGAGGCTGGGAGTGTGTGCCAACAGAGCCTCCTCCTGGGGTGGTGCCCGCTCCATGATCAACCTTCTGGGGATAACGGGGCACGGGATCCCCTGGATTGCGGGTACGCTCATCTGCCTGGTGAAGAGCAGCACGCTGGCAGGCCAAGAAGTCCTCATGAACCTGCTGCTAGGTGAGTAGCAAACCTCCCTCCCTGCTGGGAAAGCCCAGCCCTAGTCACAAGGGACAATGGCACTGGGACTCCTCCTCTGGCTGCTCTCAGGATCCAACGTGGTCGGGCAGCACGGAGTGACCTTTAGGGTTAATGCTGCACTTTTTGGCCATCTCGGTCCCAGGTGCTGTGGGTGATGGATGTAGCATGAAGTTGTCTAAGAGGGATAGAGTAATTGTGGTAGCTGGTGACACCCATGGAGTGGGGGCAGGTCCCTGATCCTGTGTGGGGCAGGGTTATCCAGTCAGATCGAGGGGGAGTGTCTGTGATGGGCAGGTGGATAGCAGCAATGATGCATTTTATTTAGTCTGTGGTCATCTGCGTTGGTGGTTTGGTATGTGTGGAAAAGATGCAGATTTTAGTCTTTGATATCTGGATCAATTCCTGAGGATATTCTTGAGGGGAAAAAAAAAAAGATTTCCATCTCCTCACCACTTTCTTGACCAGACCTTGGCTCCATGTCTCAGCCGCTGTGTAATGGAGTCCTGTCTCCTTCCCTGCTGCAGTTTGTTCTCTCATCCTCCTTCCCCTGAGTACCTTTCTGGCTGCTGTCCCCGTTTCCATGTGCTAATTTGACCCAGAGGCCGTGTAGGCAGGCTGGGATCCCTCTGGCTCTCCTGCCAGTTCTTCCTTGCGCGGTGGTCGGTGTCCCCGTTTCTAAAGGTTGGGATGTGTTAAAGGGTTTGGCTTCTCCGCTGAGCAGGGCCCATCCCACCCATCCGTGTGGACTGATGTCCCACCAGTGGCCAGGCTGAGCTCTAGGCATGACTTGCCTTAGATCCTGGCCCCAACCTGCCCTGGCCATGTCTACCTGAGGACCTTGCTCTTCTTGCTCTTCTGCCTTTGGCACAGGGCCCAGTTATCCTATTTTTCCTTGTGACTGATTACCCTCTCACCTGGCTGTGATCCACCCTGGTGTTTCACCCTCCCCCAAAAAACCCAACAATCCCTCTTTTGTTTGGTAAGAGAAACTAAGAACATTGTATTTAGACTGCTTCTTCTCAGGGAGCATTTTGAGGCGACGTAGGGACACTGAATTTCACAGGCACCACAGGAAAAGGACATCCTGTCCACAGGAGCCGACTGAGACACGATACAGGCTCTGCAACGTGGCCCCAGGTTGTTTTTCTTTTCGCAAGTTCATCCTCCAGAGAGGGTGAAGATTGCACGGAACTGCCTTGAAAAGCACAGTGGTAGCTGCCTTTTCTCCCCTCTGCCTTTGGAGGAGACTGTCCTCGTGCTGTGACATCCGATGGGGGGAGGCCATTGCAGGGAAGGAGCCAGAATAGCACCAGCGTGATGCAGAGCCCGCCAGCGTCAGCAGTTCTTCCAGGGGCTCCTCGGTGCGCGGGGTCAACCCCTCGCTGAGAGAAGATCCATTTAAAAGGGCACGAGGATGAAATAGTAGGTGACTAACACCAACCACCACAGTTTCCAGATGTCTCTTGACCCAAGAGCCTTTGATGGGGTTGGAGCCTGAAAACTGACCTCTTTGACTCCAAAATATCTGAGTTCCTTATAAAGAGCTAATGCCTTCTTTGGCTTAAAAACAAGAAAGGTGTTCTCACTGTTCCTTTGCCATATGAGGAGGCCAAATGCAAAGCCACCTTGGGGCTGTGTTGGGGTTGTGTTGGAACTTTGAGTGTCGAGTGGTGTCTGGGAGAGCCCTGCGCCACTGCCTGCATCTCCAGGTCTCCTGAGCTCAAATGTGGTGTCTGGGAGGAATTTAGGGGGGTTCTGAAGTCTTGCTTCCTTCCCTAGATGCCCTACACCTACCCCTCTTCTCTGCCTGCCGTGAAATTAAATAGTCAGATTGTGTGGAGAGCTTGTTCCATAGATCTGGCAGCCTCCAAAGAGCTCTGCTGCTTCCTCCGAATAGATGGCACAGACTGGTGGGGCTGGCCAAGGTGCCCTCAGCCTCTCTTGTCAGAGCTTGCACAGCAGGACTTGTGTCACCCCACAGAGCAGATCTCTGCTGTGAGAGTGGCCTTGGGCTGATATTTAAGATTGCAGTCAGAAGCTCTGAGTATCTGAGTAGCTGCTGTAATATCTGCCCTGCTGGTGGAGGAAAGAGCCTGGCTGGGGAGTGTGGGGCTGGTGAACCTCGACAGGTCCCAGGAGAAGTGGGGTCTTGTGTGGCCAGGAAGGGCATGGCATGACTGCTGCGTCTGGCATCCTTGGTCCCTCTCACTGCTGTTTTCCTGTGGTTCCAATCCATCAAGATGTGGTGAAAAACCCTCCTGGATAGGGACAGGTCAAAGGGAAGGGAACCTCCTGGTGCTTCCCTGCTCTCCCGAGAAGAGGGAAAGAGGGAAGTTGGGGTTGTCCATGGTACCCCTTCCTTGCCCCCTCTGGCTCTCCTCCCTCCACCCTGCTTGCTGAGGGTTTGACACATCAAGCAGAATTTCTGATGCAGTCTCTGGGCAGGGAGCCAGCCCATCATAGAGCACTTGTTTAGGATTTGCAATCAGGCTTCCAAGGCGAGGAGACAGGAGACTGCTGAAATGGGACCTGGAACCTGCCAAAGCACCACTGCAGATGGAGGAGGAGCTCTCGGCAGGAGCTTTGCCAGCACATGTGGGAGCATTTCGGGTGAGGGGGGTCTGACCCTGGGATGCTCCATCCATCCCCACTGCAGATGTTGATTAGCAACCCCGAGCAATGTTTTCCCTCCGTGTTTGTCATCTGTGATGGAATTTATTGATTTCCCCTTCCCATCGTGATCTTTTCCAGCGAATGCCAAACAACCAGAGAAACACACTCAGAGCCTGTTACTGAAAAGATGGAAGAAGCCAGATATCTGTGCCCACTGTAAAAATCCCTCTGCCAGAATATGCTTTCAGGAAGTCTGTCTCAGCATCACCAGCCCTGGCTGTGCAAGAGTCGGGGAGAAAGTCCACGCCCCCATGCCAAACTGAGAAAATCATTGTTCAGGAAACCCCTCAGTTTTAAGGTTCATTTTATTTATCTGCCAGTGTTGAAACTTTTAGGACCATTCAAGCTTTCCTTTGCAAAATCACGAGGATTTAATGAAAACTGAGATGCTTAGAAAGTTATTTGAACCTTGCAATTGGCCTTTGAGGGGGAAAGCAGATATAAAACTTCCAGTAAAAACCCCAGGTCTGCTTCAGAACCAGACATAAACTCCATTAAACCCTGGGGGCAGCAGTACCTCGGTTTCTGGTTCTGATCCATCTGGTGAGGATGTGGATCCAAATTTAGTGATTCATTGACTGCAAAGCCAGCAAAGAACATTTGGATCATCGATCTAACCCACGGCAAAATACAGGCTGTAGCACATCCCTTAATTTATTCCTGTTCAATTTGTTAAGGGAAAAAACCCAAACACTCAATCTGATGTGCAGTTACAAGTGAGGGTGAACTTGTCAGAGCCATTTCTGTATTACTGCAGTGGCAGGGCTTCTCACAAGCGCTTTTAGTTGGACTCTTCCCTTCATTGCGACTGCATACCCTTGTCTCTCCAGCTCAACAGCTCTTTTAGCCAGCATCTTTTCCGCCTTTCAATATTTTGGATGGTGCTCAAGTCATTTCTTCACCTCCTATTTATTAAGCTAAACAGATTGATCTCGTTAAACTGATGGTCTTTGCAGATCCAGGCACCTTCTCACTGCGGTGGGGATGGAACGTGGTCACCTGCCCAAAGCTGTTGTGTTTAGAGCCAGATCACCACTGTGTTCAGTTATCTGCAGTCCAGCCATGTGCCTTTGCTGTTGGGAGGTGTCTGCTTGGGTAACCCTTGGACATAAAATTCCTGTTTGTGCTCAGTTTGAAGTACCAGCCAGTAACTGGTTCTGCTGTGGTGGTGGTTCTCTGAAATAGGCATCCAGGCTAGGAGAAGAGAAAGCCCTGGTCTTCTCTTTGCCTGCTGTCTCTGTGACATTGGTGCCAGTCCTCAGCCCTCTCCAGCTGGCTCTGCATCCCGCTTCTGAGGGGCAGGATGGCTCTTTGGTGCTGTCACTAAGCATTTATCCCGTCAAGTGAAGCAGCGCCGCGGGGTGTGGATGTATCATCCGAGCAGCGTGTCAGAATGGGGATGGGTGGATGCCATGGGAGGAGGGAAAGAGGGAGCTCAGGGCCACTTCGCAATCCCTGGAGGTCAGCAAGAAGGAAATTCTTACCCTATCCAGCCTTCTCCCTGAATACTGACTGAGCTTCACTCTGACTGGGAGCCAGGCTGTGATATCCTAAGGCATAGTCCCCTGCAAACCTGTGACTTTACCCTGAGGCATATCTATATTTCTTTAAAAAATATATATATTTATAAGTACCTATATATGGTCATGGCTCTGCCATCCCACCACAGCAGCTTTCAAGCCAAACCAGATTGGCAAGAAAGTGGTGGTTTAGGAAGGAAAGAAAGCAAGAAATGCCTTCACCAAACCCCTCGGGAGCTCACTGACCCTGCTCTAACAATACAGACATGCTTCAGGTGTTGTCATGCTTCTCTTTGGGGGCTGTGTGATGGAAATCCAGACAGTACAGGCCGTTACTGGTAAAGGTCACCAGGTAGATGAAGTGCCCAGGCTGTACAGACAAGCTCATCCTGTCGAGCCTCAGGGCAGTCCAGCCCCAGCAGGGGCCAGGGAGCTGCACAGCAGATGGATCAGTCCATATGCAGCAGAGCTTGCTAAAGCTGAGAGCCCCAGAGATGGTTTGGGGCCAGATGTGTCTGTTTTTTCCCCCCTTTCATTTTTCCACTGTGAGAGCAGGGATTTTCTGAGCCAGGCAGGACAGATGATGCTCGGTCAGGGAAGGGGAGAGGAGCTCGGGAGCCGGTGCCCTGTGGAAACCCCTCCTTGTTCAAGCTGGCACATGGAGGAGGTTCAGCCTCTGTCCTGCTACCCTACCAGTGCCCACCAAGACCTCAGGGAGCCAGCAGCACATCTGCCCAGAGAGGTGGAAACATTTAAATGCCGAGTAACCCAACATGACTGACCCAT